AAGAGACTTGAAAAACCTGCAGACACACCTGCCCTCCAAGAACAGAACTAGGGACCTCTGACCTACAGCATACACAACAAAATTTCATCATCAATAAATTAAATACAGATTTTTAAATGTTACACTGAAATAATCTTTTCCAGATGATGTAGAAGAATGACATAATTTTTAAGTGTAATTTGTACATCTGGCAGCCTGATGTATTCTATGTCATTACACTGGAGTTACCAAATTTCAAATCATCTGCTAATGTGTCTCATACAACTATGGAGAAACAATTAGAAAATACATAAAAAATCAACAAAATTCTGTCTTCTGTTTTATGGCATTTTGTTACACCAAACTCACCTAAATTAGTCAGCATGGCAAATTAAAGTGAGAGACAGTTAAGTTGTCTTAATGTTTTTTCGAATGTTTGACATATACCGTATATTGTATACTTCATATAGTGCTCTATCATGAGTATCTATCCACCAAGGAAGAGATCTGAATGAGTCCAATTACCTGCTCCATTATGCAAAGAGGTCCAGTTAATTGACATGGTGACAAGCACAGTGGCTGTCCCCAGATAATGATTCAAAACATTATATCTCAGTGCTCTGAATAGGACAACATTCTGTTGCTCTCAAGAGAGTTTTGGTAGGTATTCTACTGTATTTGCTTCAAATATTGAATAAAAGGGACTGGCTTTCAGGAGTGACTGGAAACACTGGAAAATTGGGCACTGGATCTTAGATATTTGACAGTAGCATTAACTTTGTAACTTTGTAGCTTGTTCTTATTCGATTTCAGAAGTTAAGCAATGCTAGACCTCCTCAGCACTAGTATGGGAGACCACTATGGAAAAAAATAAGGTGCTGCAAGTGGTCTACTTGGCACTAGCCTCTCTGGACTAGAATTGTCCAACCATTTTTAAAGAAATGTTGTGATCTGTTGTGTATTGGGGCCCTGGGCATGATGATTGCAGTATGTCACCCAGTCAGTGCTTCAGTGGTTTTATACTCTACAGGGTTAAAATCTACATTTAAAATTTTTAAAAGTTAAATTTAGAACTACATATACATATAAATTTCTACATATACATTATGTAGAAATTGCAAACTTTAATGGTAGGAAGCATTAAACACCTTAAAAATTTCTTACAGATGAGTATTCAGAAGAATTATGATACGGAAGAAATATTAATGCAAGGTTTATGTCTAATCAAAGTTGCATTAAAAAAGAACATTCCCCTCACTAGGTAAGTAGTGTAAAGCAAGAAGAGTAAGAAATCTCACACATCTTAAATTAAGAGATACATTTTGTTTAATTGTAAGGCTGTAAGTCTCAAACAAATATCATGTTTATAAATAACAATCTTTCCAATAGGCATGTATTTGTTTAAAAGATTCTCAAAAGTGATCCCTTGCCATGTACAAAGAACCATAACAAGATTATGTGCTGAAACAAGTAGATGAGCATCTTATGACCATGGAAACATTAGCTTTGGGGTAACATAGAGCAGCAATAGGAGCTCTGAACTCATATCAGGAAGGTGATGTGTTTGAGTCCCTGCTATACAATATACTGTGTTGTGAAAAAGTGTTTGCCCCCTTCCTGATTTCTTATTTTTTTGCATGTTTGTCACACTGAAATGTTTCAGATCATAAAACCAATTGAAATATTAGACAAAGATAACACAAGTAAACGCAAAAAATGCAATTTTTAAATGAAGGTTTTTATTATTAAGGGAAAAAAAATCCAAACCTACATGGCCCTGTGTGAAAAAGTGATTCCCCCCCCTGTTAAAACATAAATCAACTGTAGTTTATCACATGTTTGGAAAGCTGAGTTCAATTTCTCTAGCCACACCCAGGCCTGATTACTGCCACACCTGTTCTCAATCAAGAAATCACTTAAATAGGACCTGCCTGACAAAGTGAAGTAGACCAAAAGATCCTCAAAAGCTAGACATCATGCTGCGATCCAAAGAAATTCAGGAACAAATGAGAAACAGAGTAATTGAGATTTATCAGTCTGGAAAAGGTTATAAAGCCATTTCTAAAGCTTTGGGACTCCAGCGAACCACAGTGAGAGCCATTATCCACAAATGGTGAAAACATGGAACAGTGGTGAACCTTCCCAGGAGTGGCCGGCCGACCAAAATTACCCCAAGAGCGCAGCGACGACTCATCCAAGAGGTCAGAAAAAAACCCACAACAACATCCGAAGAACTACAGGCTTCACTTGCCTCAGTTAAGGTCAGTGTTCATGACTACACCATGAGAAAGAGACTGGGCAAAAATGGCCTGCATGGCAGAGTTCCAAGACGAAAAACCACTGCTGAGCAAAAAGAACATAAAGGCTCATCTCAGTTTTGCCAGAAAACATCTTGATGATCCCCAAGACTTTTGGGAAAATACTTTGTGTACTGACGAGACAAAAGTTCAACTTTTTGGAAGGTGTGTGTCCCATTACATCTGGCGTAAAAGTAACACAGCATTTCAGAAAAGGAACATCATACCAACAGTAAAATATGGTGGTGGTAGTGTGATGGTCTGGGGCTGTTTTGCTGCTTCAGGACCTGGAAGACTTGCCGTGGTAAATGGAACCATGAATTCAGCTGTCTACCAAAAAATCCTGAAGGAGAATGTCCGGCCATCTGTTCATTACCTCAAGCTAAAACGCACTTGGGTTCTGCAGCAGGACAATGATCCAAAACACACCAGCAAGTCCACCTCTGAATGGCTTAAGAAAAACAAAATTAAGACTTTGGAGTTGCTTAGTCAAGGTCCTGACCTGAATCCGATTGAGATGTTGTGGCATGACCTTAAAAAAGTGGTTAAGGCTCGAAAACCCTCCAATGTGGCTGAATTACAACAATTCTGCAAAGATGAG